GCCTCCGTACATGTTAGCATCAGTATGTTAGCCTCCGTACATGTTAGCATCAGTATGTTAGCCTCCGTACATGTTAGCATCAGTATGTTAGCCTCCGTACATGTTAGCATCAGTATGTTAGCCTCCGTACATGTTAGCATCAGTATGTTAGCCTCCGTACATGTTAGCATCAGTATGTTAGCCTCCGTACATGTTAGCATCAGTATGTTAGCCTCCGTACATGTTAGCATCAGTATGTTAGCCTCCGTACATGTTAGCATCAGTATGTTAGCCTCCGTACATGTTAGCATCAGTATGTTAGCCTCCGTACATGTTAGCATCAGTATGTTAGCCTCCGTACATGTTAGCATCAGTATGTTAGCCTCCGTACATGTTAGCATCAGTATGTTAGCCTCCGTACATGTTAGCATCAGTATGTTAGCCTCCGTACATGTTAGCATCAGTATGTTAGCCTCCGTACATGTTAGCATCAGTATGTTAGCCTCCGTACATGTTAGCATCAGTATGTTAGCCTCCGTACATGTTAGCATCAGTATGTTAGCCTCCGTACATGTTAGCATCAGTATGTTAGCCTCCGTACATGTTAGCATCAGTATGTTAGCCTCCGTACATGTTAGCATCAGTATGTTAGCCTCCGTACATGTTAGCATCAGTATGTTAGCCTCCGTACATGTTAGCATCAGTATGTTAGCCTCCGTACATGTTAGCATCAGTATGTTAGCCTCCGTACATGTTAGCATCAGTATGTTAGCCTCCGTACATGTTAGCATCAGTATGTTAGCCTCCGTACATGTTAGCATCAGTATGTTAGCCTCCGTACATGTTAGCATCAGTATGTTAGCCTCCGTACATGTTAGCATCAGTATGTTAGCCTCCGTACATGTTAGCATCAGTATGTTAGCCTCCGTACATGTTAGCATCAGTATGTTAGCCTCCGTACATGTTAGCATCAGTATGTTAGCCTCCGTACATGTTAGCATCAGTATGTTAGCCTCCGTACATGTTAGCATCAGTATGTTAGCCTCCGTACATGTTAGCATCAGTATGTTAGCCTCCGTACATGTTAGCATCAGTATGTTAGCCTCCGTACATGTTAGCATCAGTATGTTAGCCTCCGTACATGTTAGCATCAGTATGTTAGCCTCCGTACATGTTAGCATCAGTATGTTAGCCTCCGTACATGTTAGCATCAGTATGTTAGCCTCCGTACATGTTAGCATCAGTATGTTAGCCTCCGTACATGTTAGCATCAGTATGTTAGCCTCCGTACATGTTAGCATCAGTATGTTAGCCTCCGTACATGTTAGCATCAGTATGTTAGCCTCCGTACATGTTAGCATCAGTATGTTAGCCTCCGTACATGTTAGCATCAGTATGTTAGCCTCCGTACATGTTAGCATCAGTATGTTAGCCTCCGTACATGTTAGCATCAGTATGTTAGCCTCCGTACATGTTAGCATCAGTATGTTAGCCTCCGTACATGTTAGCATCAGTATGTTAGCCTCCGTACATGTTAGCATCAGTATGTTAGCCTCCGTACATGTTAGCATCAGTATGTTAGCCTCCGTACATGTTAGCATCAGTATGTTAGCCTCCGTACATGTTAGCATCAGTATGTTAGCCTCCGTACATGTTAGCATCAGTATGTTAGCCTCCGTACATGTTAGCATCAGTATGTTAGCCTCCGTACATGTTAGCATCAGTATGTTAGCCTCCGTACATGTTAGCATCAGTATGTTAGCCTCCGTACATGTTAGCATCAGTATGTTAGCCTCCGTACATGTTAGCATCAGTATGTTAGCCTCCGTACATGTTAGCATCAGTATGTTAGCCTCCGTACATGTTAGCATCAGTATGTTAGCCTCCGTACATGTTAGCATCAGTATGTTAGCCTCCGTACATGTTAGCATCAGTATGTTAGCCTCCGTACATGTTAGCATCAGTATGTTAGCCTCCGTACATGTTAGCATCAGTATGTTAGCCTCCGTACATGTTAGCATCAGTATGTTAGCCTCCGTACATGTTAGCATCAGTATGTTAGCCTCCGTACATGTTAGCATCAGTATGTTAGCCTCCGTACATGTTAGCATCAGTATGTTAGCCTCCGTACATGTTAGCATCAGTATGTTAGCCTCCGTACATGTTAGCATCAGTATGTTAGCCTCCGTACATGTTAGCATCAGTATGTTAGCCTCCGTACATGTTAGCATCAGTATGTTAGCCTCCGTACATGTTAGCATCAGTATGTTAGCCTCCGTACATGTTAGCATCAGTATGTTAGCCTCCGTACATGTTAGCATCAGTATGTTAGCCTCCGTACATGTTAGCATCAGTATGTTAGCCTCCGTACATGTTAGCATCAGTATGTTAGCCTCCGTACATGTTAGCAGCAGTATGTTAGCCTCCGTACATGTTAGCATCAGTATGTTAGCCTCCGTACATGTTAGCATCAGTATGTTAGCCTCCGTACATGTTAGCATCAGTATGTTAGCCTCCGTACATGTTAGCATCAGTATGTTAGCCTCCGTACATGTTAGCATCAGTATGTTAGCCTCCGTACATGTTAGCATCAGTATGTTAGCCTCCGTACATGTTAGCATCAGTATGTTAGCCTCCGTACATGTTAGCATCAGTATGTTAGCCTCCGTACATGTTAGCATCAGTATGTTAGCCTCCGTACATGTTAGCATCAGTATGTTAGCCTCCGTACATGTTAGCATCAGTATGTTAGCCTCCGTACATGTTAGCATCAGTATGTTAGCCTCCGTACATGTTAGCATCAGTATGTTAGCCTCCGTACATGTTAGCATCAGTATGTTAGCCTCCGTACATGTTAGCATCAGTATGTTAGCCTCCGTACATGTTAGCATCAGTATGTTAGCCTCCGTACATGTTAGCATCAGTATGTTAGCCTCCGTACATGTTAGCATCAGTATGTTAGCCTCCGTACATGTTAGCATCAGTATGTTAGCCTCCGTACATGTTAGCATCAGTATGTTAGCCTCCGTACA